AGAAGGGCATGAAGAGAAGGTCAAACAGGACATGGACAAGAAGATACAGGACTACGTGCACGCCAGGAAGTTCAGGTTCTTGCACCATTTTGCGGGACCCCGAGACCCCCTTGGAGGTGAGATCCATCGCATCGCGAAGAAGCGGAACCTCAAGGTTGAAGTCATCTCCACAGAGAAGGATTGGGGCGAAGATCTCTGCGCAGACGAGCCCTACAAGACCCACCTCCAGTGGGCCAAGGAGGGGCTCATAGACGGGTACCACTCGGGCTTCCCTTGCTCTACGTACTCCCGATTGAGGTTCAGGCGAGCTGAAGGCCTTCCAGAACCAGTTCGAACCAGGGCGGAACCATACGGCCGCAAGTCGAACGACCAGAGACAACAACAGGAGTGCGACAGAGGGACGGTGATGTTGGCCCGTTCAACCACCATTGCCGAGGAAATAGCCAAGACCCCGACGACAGCCATCGTGGTCAAGCCGGTGACGATGGAGAACCCGCCCCCTTCAGAGCACGAGGAACACGTGTCCGCTTGGGGCATGGCGGAAATGGTGAGGTTCCTTCGACTGCCTGGGGTGAAAGTCTCCCTCTTCAACACGCGCGCCTATCAAGCTGACAGAGCGAGAGGTGATCGGCACTGGAAACCCCAACAGTTCGCGGGCACCCTCTTCGGCATTGAGCAGATGAACGCTTCATGCAAGTGCGGAGACGCCAAACACAGGGCCATCATCGGCAAGAAAGCCTCCCAGGAGTCAGGCGAGTACCCATGCAACAAGTATGGAGTTGGAGCAATTCCACGATGGGTTGTCGTCCGGGGACGCTGCAGCCACGGAGATGAGGACGAAACGGAGGATGGAAGGGGTGAAGCTGTCACCGTCGCCAGAACCTGGACCTAGCCGGAGGACGCACAACCTGGACGCGGTGGCCTCAGAGTTGCCTCAACAGATCCGCGATGAACTACGAGGCGAAGGGAGCGAAAAAGGGAGGAGCCGAAGTAGAAGGGAAAGCAGGGAAAGAAGCAAACGCCAACCGAGGGGGAGTTCGACATCACCACGAAGGGGCCAGAAGAGACCAAGGTCACCGAGCAGGAGGAGGGGAACTGGGGCGAGCCGGAAGGAGACCACGGAGAAGGACTTGAGCTGGAAAGCAGGTGAAGGAAAGTACGGCTTGCTGAAGGTGGACACCAAGAAGGAGCAGAAGTTCGAACAGCAGGTCTTCGTGGGCGGCATGAAGAACCCGGCGGAGGTAGTTGAAGGCATGCCGACATTGCAGAATCTGGGCCGGAGGATAATGGGAGCTTGGGAGCGCCATTGCAACCACTATCCACACTGCCTGAAGGTCGCAGAGACGTATGGCACGCCAGAGTGTGTCCTGGAGGAGAAGTGGGTGAAGAAGTGGAAGGAGGAGCTGAAGAAGCTGACGGGGGCGAAGGGAGCGCCGACCTTGAAGTTGAAAGGAAAATGGAACTACACCTCTCCGCTGGACCAGAACCTATATGAAGCTTGGGGCAAGCGAGGCAATGACCCGGAGGTGGAAGTTCCGAAGTGGATCGAATCGGGGGTGCCACTGGGCATAAACTGCTCCATCAAGTCATGCAACATCTTTCCGCCCGCCTTGAAGCAAGACTCACCCATGAGACAAGACGACTGGCAAGCAGCTCAAAGTCTCAGGGAAGACATCGGAAACTACACTTCGGTCCGGGAGCAGGAAGCCGACGCGAAGGTGGAGATCGACAGGCTGGTGGAGCAAGGGTATGCCATCCCCATCGAGAAGACAGAAGCGGAGGAGGCGGGCTTCAAGGGCGTCACGGTGTCCAGGTTGGGCCTCATCGTGAAGACGAAGGAAGACGGGTCGAAGAAGAGGAGGATCATCATCGACCTGAGAAGATCGGGAGGTAACAGCAAAGCCGTGCTGCCCGAGAGGCTGATACTCCCGAGGCCCGCGGACGCCATCGCCATGCTGAGAAAGATGCACGCTCTGCACGCTGACAAACCGACGCCCCAAGAAAGGACGATGGAGATGGTGCTGATAGACGTGTCCGACGCGTTCATGCATCTGGCCATCGCAGAAGAGGAGAAGGGACATTGCCTCACGCCAGCGCTGGACTCACAACACTGGCTACTGTTCGTGGCACTCTTGTTCGGATATAAAACAGCCCCATTGACGTGGAGCAGGGTAGCCGCCATGACAGCAAGGCTCATCCAGTCGATCATCCCGGCGGAGAAGGGCATGCATCAAGTCTACTTGGACGACTCACTCTGGGTGCTGTGTGGAAGGCTAGCAACCCGGAACAGGACGCTGGGCTGCATCCTCACGACGATGGCCGCCCTCGGCCTTCGCCTCTCACTGAAGAAAGGCGAACGGTCCGCTGATGTGACCTGGATAGGGGTGAAGTTCAAGTTGGTGGCTCCTGACTACGACTACCTCATGGTCACGCTCCCTGAACGCTTCATTGACGAACTGTGCAAACAACTTGAAGCATGGGACCGGAAAGGCATGATAGGAGTCAACGAGCTGAGGCAAGCAGCGGGCCGCGTGGCATGGCTGGCAGGCGTGCTACCAAGGGCCAGGTGTGTCACTTCGACACTCTACGCGGTCCTCTACTCGCACGAAGCCGATCAAGCAAGCGGCATTGAGGCTGGGCGGAGGGCCAAACGCCAGGATGACAGGCCAAAGGACCACTTGGTCCCAGTGAAAGAGTGGAAAGGGCAAGATTATGGCTCCTGACGTACCTGGCCGCGGCGAAGGAGAAACCCATAAGGAAGTACAACCTCTACAAGAGTGGCAAGGCCGAAGTCGCCCTGATGACCGACGCATCCCCACTGGGGTTAGGCGCCATCCTCTTGGTGAACGGCCGCGTGACCAAAGCAATGGCCTCGCCGGTGGGCGAACTGGATGCCAAAACGCTGGGATTCGCCTTCGGCGATTCGAGCTCCCAAGGAGCAGCACTCAAGCACTGGGGTAAGCTTCTCACCTCGGTGAATGTGGCCATCAACATCCAGTCCGACTCAGTGACTGCGTTGGCACTCACCCAGAAGTTTTCGAACAGCAACACCACCCTGAACTACCTCGGAGCAGAGCTCGCCATCACGTGCTCCTTACTCCGGGGAGTGGGAGACGGTGAATGGGCGGGTCTGCTCGACCTGGTCAGGAGGAACAAGAAGAGGCCTTCATCATGTGCGACACCCCAAAAGAAAGCTCTTTCCGCCAAGGAAACCAAGGAGGAGAAAGCAGGACGAAGGGTGCTAGGAGCCAAAGTTCGACGAAGCTTGGGGGGTCGACTTCAACCCGAAGGTAAATTGCTGAGAGGGAGGCCAAGATCGAGATGAGCGGACTTACCCCAGCCGCCCAAAGCGAACACGCTGAAGGGAGGAAGGTTCAAGTGGAAAGCAGCCATCAAAACAGCCAAGCTCTTCAAGGTGAATCAAGGAAGGGGAGAGAGTGCAGTGAAGGACTTCCAGAAGAATTACTATGCAAACTCGTCAAGGAAAGCCAAAGCCTCGGTCAGGAAGACTGTGGAGGGCATCTTGGATGGCCTGGGAGTATGGGGCGGACCCGACTGCTGGCTGCCACAAACCCTCGAGCAGGTGGGCGCAGTCCTCAAGGAATCGAACTATAAGGCGGGTGGCACCTACCTGTCCGAATACAAGCAACTCCTGATCGAGAAGGGCAAGCCTTGGACGCACCAGCTGCAGAGAGTGTTCACGCAGGTGACGAGGGCACTGAAGCGAGCCCGAGGCCCGACGAAGAAAGCGGCAGAAGTGCCGGAAGACCTGTGGATGGAGAAGTGCAGGAAGGAAGTCAACGAGAAGAAGGCAGGCCAGATCCACAACCCAGCGCTGATGTTCGCATTCGCGACGGTATGGATGTTGAGGGAAGTAGAGCTGGCAGCCATCTACAAGGAGGACATCACCATCGAGGAGAAGGATAGCATCGTGGCCCTGAACCTGAGGATCACGAAAGGCGACCAAGAAGGGCTGGGAGTCAAGAGAACCCTACAATGCTGTTGTGAAGGTGATTGTGACTGGTCCACCCCTTGTGCGTTCTTGGTCACCAAGACAGCCCTTGACGCAGTACCCATCGAGGAGGACAAGTTAGTACACGGGGACACCTCCGACCCAATCGAGAAGTCCCAGATCATCGCAGCTTGGAGAGACCTATTTGGCAGAGCAGTCTCCGGACACTCCGGGAGAAGATCGGGCGCCCTGCAATACATACGCAGGGGCTGGCAAGTCCCACAAGTAGCCTACTTGGGTCGTTGGAAATCAAACATCATCCTCCAATATGCCGAAGAAGCTCTCGAGACAATGCCGGTGATGGCCAAACCCAACAATCCGAAGGGCACAACCAACACACAGATCGAGCGCGACAAGACGACGAAGAAGGGGAAGTCCACCGAATACGAGAGAAAGCTCAAGCTGGAGATTGACCACCTGAAGAAGGCTCAAGAGAAGCTAGATGACTCCATCGTGAGGTGGGAGGAGATTTCTAAGAAGAACCAAGGCCTCCTACCACCGACGGTGATCACCAAGGGTTGCGTGCATGCCAACAAGAAGATCCCCGTTGCTTCTCCTGTCGCGACCTGGCACACCAGATGTGGATGGCCCTACGGATCATCAACTTTCTCCTTTGGACTCGACATCAACGCTGTATCATGCATCAAGTGCCTGAACCTCGCGCAAAGCACATGAGCCAGAAAGATGGCGAGGGAAAGGGGCATTTTTGGAAATTCAACTGGAGTTGAAAGGATGAACCAAGGACTTT